CTAGCCATAGGTTGACCTGCACTACATTATTTCACTAAATAAGGAGCTAGATGATCAGGGTGGTGGCACTAACTGATTCAAAGACAACACCAAGCCAAACAATGTGAAAAAATACTCATAGTTGCAACGATTCATCAGAGATGATTTACACGGATGATTAAATATATATACATATATAATATATATATATATATATATATATAGATATAATATATATATATGATATATATATAATATATATATATATATATATGCATACATATATTGTAATCATTACCCTGGTAGCGTTGACTACATTTATCGCGCTGACGAGTGCTGGTTGAAACTATCAAGATTCTTTTCACATGTTGGAGTATATATATATATATATATATATATATATATATATTATATATATATATATACATACATATATGTAATCATGTTACCCTTAGCGCTGACGAGTATGCGTTGCAACTATCAAGTATTTTCTTTTCACATGTTTGGATATATCTATATATATATATATATATTATATATATATATAGATATATAATATATATGTATATATATATTATATAATATATTGTGATCATGTACCCTGGTATCGTTGACGACATTTATCGCGCTGACGAGTGTGCTGCGTTGCAAACTATCAAGTATTCTTTTCAGGTAATGTGAGGTACATCAAGAAGTGTATGCTTGTTTGGGGGAAAGAGTCGAAACAGAGGGTAAATATTGATTGCACTTGATATACAAACTGATCGGCGCGCGCCTGCGACTCTGGACGCCCCGTCCGGCCCCGCGACTGCCCTGTGTGAGCCTGCTGGTGACAGTTGTTACCATGACATGACCTGATCTGACCGTTAGGTGTGCCGAGGCGGTGCTCCCCACGGCATCTCGCTGATGGAGCTGGTGCAGTCGGACGACGAGGCAGCCTTCCAGCACACCACCAACGCCTCGTCTGATCGCTGCCCATTCAGGTGGGGGCCGACTGCCTATCACGGAGGCGTGGCGGCCGTGGCCGGCCAGGAGGGTGGGACGGCCGCCCGCCCTCGCCCCCGAACCCGCCCGGACCAGCGCCCGCTCGCAGTGCCGGCCTTGTGCGGCTGCTGGGAAAGAATGCGGGTGAAGTTGGTCCGTTCATCTACTGGCTTTCGGGGTTGGGGGTGGCTGGCTTCAGTACCGCCACCCTATCTTCGTCCATGCCAATCAGGCGAGGCGGCTGCTCGTGGTGGTCACGTGCTGTCCTGTAAGCAGCATACGTGATGACTCATGTGAGTCCTGCATGCTGTTGAAGTAAATCTGTAGTGAGCATTATATGTAAATGTGTCATGGCCTGTCCCCTGACCCCTGACCTGTCCGGCTGTCTGCAGACGTGCATGATGGACCTGCTGCGCTCGATGGACCTGGCCGGTGACCCGTTCCTGAATCCTGGCGTTGACCCGTCCGGGGTGTCGGCAGGTGTGCATGATTGACTGCTGCGCTCGCTGGACCTGAGCCCGGACGGCCTGATCGGCCACTCGGTGGCGAGCTGGGCTTGCGCCTACGCCGACGGCTGCTTCTCGGCCGAGCAGGCCGTGCTGGCCGCCTACTGAGAGGCGTCCTGCATCAGCGATGCGCGGCTGCCGCCGGCGCCATGGCTGCCGTCGGTGGGTGCCCCCCTGCCCTGCCCCCCCCCCCCCCGCCC